CCTTATTAAACTGAAGAGCCTCAATTTATTTAATATAATATTTAATTTAATAATATTTTCTTTTAATTTGATTATTTTAAAATTATTATAGTTAAAATAATATAATCTTCAAATAGATTGGATTTCTTGTAGCTTTAAATTTTCTTATAGTTTGATTCAATATTTTATTAATCAAATAGAAATACATAAGTCTAGTACATCTAAATCCTTATTGATAGGTATGAGAGCTTTCATACATGTAGCAAAAGAACAATCATCTTTTGTTATATTTGCCATATTTATTTTTGATGGTGTAAAGACATCAAGTTGTATTCTAAGAAAATATCAAGATTTCTACAATATTTTTAAAAAGAATAATGTAGATATTTTTTTAAAGTATTGATCGTATGATTATTCAATTGATTTGCAAAAAGAAGCTAAACCACCATTTGGACCAATCTACAACTTATCACAAATTGAATTGGCTGATTTACAAGAATATATTGACAAAAACTTAGTTAAGAATTTTTAAAAATATTTAAAATTTCCAACCAAGGTTCCTATCTTATTTATTAAGAAAAATAATAGATTTCTATGTATGTATGTAGACTATCAAGGACTTAATAAGATCACCATTAAGAATAGGTAATTCCTATCTTTGATTTTAGGACTTTTTGACTAATTCAATTAATCAAAGATTTATAGAAAAATAGATCTACAAAGACCATACAACCTAGTTTGTATTAAAGAAGGAGATAAATAGAATATTACTTTTTAAACTAAACATAGATATTTCAAATATAATAGCATACTTTTTGGACTCACGAACATACTACTTATTTTTCAATATTTCATGAATGATATTTTTTGTAAGTATCTTGATGATTTTGTTGTCTATTATTTAGACAACATTCTTATATATTCTGAGAAGATAGAAAAATATAAACTTCATGTTTGTCATGTATTACAAAAACTTAGAGATGTAAGATTATATGTTAAGATAAAAAAGTATATATTCTATACTATTCAAGTTGATTTCTTAAGATACATCATTTCAAATGAAGGACTAATGATAGATCCATAGAAGGTTCAAATTATTATAAATTGAAAGTTTTCAAAAATAGTCAAAGATATGTAATATTTTTTGAGATTTTTTAATTATTATAAGATCTTCATTAAGAACTTTTTTTAAAATTGTGGCTCCTCTTACATGTCTGATATATAAAGACAAATTTGAGTAAAACAAAGAAGCTAAAGCATGTTTTGAAGACTTGAAGATATCATTTATTTTTGCACCAATTTTGTATTGCATTGATTTTTTTAAGACATTTTTAATAGAAACAAATGCAAAAAACTTTTCTATAAGTGCCATTTTATTAAAAATAGAGATATATAACAAGCCCATTCAATAGCTTTTCATTTCAAGAAATTTTTAGCAGTTGAGATTAATTATGAGATCTATAGCAAAGATTTCCTTGCAATTATGTATTTATTTCAAAAATAGCATCATTATTTAGAAAGCACTTTTAATCCACTTATTATATATATAGATCACAAAAATCTTAAGCATTTCATGTTAATATATGTTTTGAATTCTTCCCAAGCTCGTTAAAGTATATCCTTATTAAGATTTGATTTTAAGATCACTTATTAACTTAAAAAATAACAAGGTTTATTAAATATTATAGATATTTTTGTCTTGTAATAAAAGAAAGAGATACAGCTTTTGACCAATAAAGAACAACTTTTTTTGATGCCAAAGCATTTTTATCTTTGAATAATAACATCAACATTATTTGTTGATTCAATCTTTGACAAGAAAATTTAATTAAACGTGTCCTTTGATCTTCTTCTCCATGATATCAAAAATACTTCTTCAAAGTCTTATAATACTTCAAAGTTTAAGTTCAAGTTCAAGAATAATCTACTATATTTTGAAGGACGCTTATATGTTTGAGAAAGAAAAGCACATCATGACTTTCTAGTGGTATGACATTTTGGATACAATAAGATTTTGGACCTAATATCTAGGTATATTTTTAGTGGTTACAAATGTAGAAGTTTGTGAAAGACTTTGTACAATCATTTGACATTTGTTCAAGATCTAAAACTCCTCATCATTGACTTTATAGACTTCTTTAATCATTACTTATTTTAAAACAATAATGGACTTCTATTTCTATAGTTTTTATCAAAGATCTTTCAGTCTCATTTTTATATGATTCTATATTTGTGATAGTAGATTATTTTATCAAGATGGTATATTTTGTATTATATACAAAATCTATTGCAAGTAAAGAAATGGCTAAGCTTTTTATTAACAACATCTATTGCTATTATGGATTGCCTAAGGATATTATATCAAATTCAAGAACTTAATTTGTATCAAGATTTTGAAGGATCCTTTTCAAGATTTAAAGGTGGATATAAAGTGTTCTTTATTTTTTTATCTTCAAACTAATGGATAAATAAAATGGATAAGTCAAGTTTTGAAGTAGTATTTAAATTGTATTTTCAATTGTCATCAAGATGATTAGACAACTTTTTTTTAATTGGCAAAGTTTTTATATAATAATTTAGTACATACTTCTATTTAAGAAATATCTTTGTTTGCCAATTATGATTATTATCTAAGTCTTAATACTTTTGATGTTTCAAAAGTTAACAATCCTACGACAAAAGATTTGACAAATTATTTGTCAAAGCTACATGCAATAATAAAGGCCCAATTCAAAGAAACTCAAGAATGATAGAAGAATAATACAGGTGCCTATTGCAAGGAACAACAACAATTCATTGTTGATGACAAGGTATGATTAATTTTTTATAATAACAAGACTACTTGTCCTCGTGACAAATTGGACTATTATACAATTGAACTTTTTTTTATTTGTGAATTAGTCAATCTTATTCCTTATTGATTACATCTATTAGAGTTTATGAAGATCCATTCCACATCCCATATGTCTCTTCTTGAGCCATATAAGACAATGAATATCTCAAGATGAAGACAAATGCAATCTCTTCTTATAGAAGTGGATAATAATCAAAAGTTTGATATAGAAGAAGTCTTAGATTCAAGGTGATACCAAAATAGGTTGAAATATCTTATTTATTAGTATTTATATAATATTAGTCAATATTATTGTAATACATGTGTCTTCTTTGAGAATTCACTAAGCACCTACATATTGAAGGTGAAGTTGTATTTTACAAATATTCAAAAAATCCCAATAGATTTCATTCATATAAGAAGAATGCAATTCGAATTTCAATTCAAAAGTACTTAAAGCCAAAATAAAGTGTTCAAAAATATTCTTTATAGTAAGCTCAATAATATATAAAATTCCAATTACCTTAATTCTTTTATAATTAGACAATTTTGATTTCTCTTTATAAGCCCTAATTCTAACTAGTAAGCTTTGGCAAGTTGTAACTTCTAATTTGAGTATCTACTCAATGCAAGAAAAAAATCATAAAAATGCCATTATAAGCCTTCTATATTCTTAGAAAAATCTAGTCCAATCCAACTTATAAGTTGTGAGAAAAATTCTAGAAACCACACCAATGTAACTTAGCCACCAACTTGAAAGTTGATACAAATGTTTCAATTGCAAATTCTCCTTTTTTAATCATTAACTTCAACTCAAAATTGGCATGTAGCTTTATCTTGAAGTCATCTAATACAATGCCAAATTTCACTTTGATCCAACTAATAGATCTTTAGATATCATAGAAATCCTACCTAACTCCAAACTGCCAACTTTTTATACCTTCTTATACCAAAATCCAAATATCTCTCAATTATATCATAAGATTAATACAAAAATTTACACACATTTAGGATACTTAATCAGCCAAATATTGTCAAATTTTGAAGTATAAATATAACACAAATTGCACAAACTAGCCAAGAGTGCTAGTTTTGACTGTATTATATAAATTTCAAGTCACTGATACAAACCTTAACTTTGAAAAATAATTGCAAAGTCATTCCAAATCTTATAAAAATAAACTTTATAGCTTTGAAATAAGCTTAAGGATAGCTCATAAACTTCAATTGCTGATTATTGAATGCCTCCCTATTTTGCCCTACGTAGCTATTTTAATGGCTAGAGGTTTGTTTTTCACCTTGTCCCACAAATAGTCGACCTCTAAGTATCAATCCAACCTATTCTAGGGATTTTTTAGCCCAATCCTACTTTCAACTTAATCCTAGTATCAATCATAGAAATGACTACGTTTTTAAACTATCAATCCTTCAAACTTGGGGCCTTATATTCAACAAAATAATTTTTAATTAAAAAAAAATCCTTAATATACTTCAAAATTGAAGAATTTTATGAATAAATATTAGATAGATAAATTTTTTTTTATATATTTAAATTATGTATTATATAAAATAACTTAGATATAAGATACAAACTTTAAAATACCTTCTCATTGGCTAAACATGGATAAACAAGAGAATAAATAGATGGCAATGCTAAAGATTGAAATGCTTAATGGCACGGATTTCTACTAATTATTTAACAAAACATTTGGTGGTTAAGATATCAATGTGATATTTTACACAAAATCAACTTCAAAAGCTTACATTAAGTCTTTTGATAGTTTTGCATTGTGGAAGTATCAAAGATCATTTACATAGATTTATTATTTAAAAAAACAAAAATAAGATTAAAAAATGAAAAAAAAAATCAAAATCAAAATCAAAATAGTAGGACAAAGAATATATGATAAATCACCAAACACAACATGTATGCACGAAGAAAATAATAATTAAGCTGATGATAGAATTAAAGTAGTGCTAGTCTCCCCTACACGAACATTTCTACAGTGAAAAAGCAAAAATACCAAAAAAATAAAAAGGTGGAAGGTGGTGCTCAGTGGCGAAAGTTTTCATCCACAGCACCGCAACTGAAACCAGACCGACAGCTGGCGGTGGCGCGTGGGTAGCACCTTCGCAGCAATTGGATTGGTGGGCCTCGATCGAAGAAGGGAAATTCCTCGGCCCTATTCTCATTTCGACACTCGCTCGCTCGAGCCCCATTGTTGCGTGGATCTGCTCCTCCCCACGACCCATCTCCCAATTTTTCTCCCTCGCTTGCCGTCCCGCCATACCCACTTTTCATTTTTGTTTTCTCTTGTTGGATTTGCGTCCTTGTATCGAAGCCGGCGCCATGTCGACCTCTGCTGTGTTCAACGGAGATGAGGTCGCTCCCTTCTTCGGCTTCATTGGAGCTGCAGCTGCTCTCGTCTTCTCATGTATGGACTCTCACTCACTCTCGACCGATCTGGCCCAGAAGTGGTTCGTTTGTTCTTGGGTGTCGCTTCATTTTGGGGTTTGGTGATGGATCGTTGGACCGGGCCGCTAATATACGACCCCCGTATTTAGGGTATCTAGAATCCGTGTCGATTTTAGCTTTGTGGATTGTTTCCAGTCTTTTGTGGTCGGTGGTGATGATAGGATTTTTCAGTAGGGTCTGATGTGGTCGAATGCTCTCTGGATGGCCGCGCGGGTGAGGTATTGTTCTGTGTCAGCGTATCTGTCGGTGACATGCGTATGCTACTTGTGGTGCGATCACAGTTCAATTAAGTTTGGTCTGGGTGATGCTCTTTACTTTAGTGTTGGGCGAGGTAGCGGTGTGGGTGGGTGGTGGAATCGAGTGCCAGCCGCTGTTGGAAAGATTCCGTTTCGCAAGCGTGGTTTCCGATTGATTCATCTTCAATAGGCTATGTTGTAGAAATTTGTCATATCAGGGTTTTCTGCGTGATTTCCATTAGAATCCGCAAGTTCTCCTTTGAATTGAATGATTATTCGGTGATATTTGTAAGTGCGATGGTCAGTCATTGATTGGATGCATGATCTTTTCCAGTATGAGCGAGGCATTTTGTGACGAATAAGTTGAAAACGTATGACTCTTTTTGATAGAGTGTGTAACTTGAAGGCGTAGAATTCCTTCGTAAATCACCTCCTTGATAACAGCGATGTTGGGCACCCCACTTTCGAGTGCCTCATCTAGGATATGGCCTCGAAATTCCTAGATATGAATAAAATGGTGAAGGTTTTTGCGCGCAGGCATGGGCGCTGCATATGGAACAGCCAAGAGTGGAGTGGGAGTGGCATCCATGGGTGTGATGCGGCCCGAGCTGGTGATGAAGTCGATCGTACCAGTGGTCATGGCTGGAGTGTTGGGTATCTACGGGCTGATTATTGCCGTGATCATCAGCACGGGCATCAACCCGAAGTCGAAGCCTTACTACGTGTTTGACGGCTACGCGCATCTTTCATCGGGATTGTCTTGCGGGTTGGCAGGACTGTCGGCAGGCATGGCCATCGGTATCGTTGGAGATGCTGGTGTGAGGTAGCGGACGAACCCTTGCAATGTGGTGATGTATGGGAATACGTAGTGAAGTTGGAAAGAGAGATGTAATCGGGATTGAAATGGATTCGCAGAGGGTTCACGGTGATGGACATGAGGTTTGAGGATGCAGAGTGAGTTGTGGGAGGGTTTGGTGTGTTGTGGATGTGGTTGTTAACGTGGAGGATGGCATCGTTTGCAGGGCGAATGCTCAGCAGCCGAAGCTGTTCGTGGGGATGATCCTGATCCTCATTTTCGCTGAGGCGCTTGCCTTGTATGGACTGATCGTCGGCATTATCTTGTCTTCCCGTGCTGGGCAGTCCCGAGCTGACTAGGCCATCGTCGAGTGGAGTAAGTACCTTCTAGCAGTGCTACAGGTGTGCTCATCTATCTGAGGTGGTCACAGCAGGGACCTGTGCAGGAGCGTTCACTTGTACCGGTTTTTTTTCATAGCTAACGATTACGAAGCATAGCGCAGAGCCTGGAAACTTGTAGTTGGGGAATTAAAGTTGTCATGTTATTGTTGTGTATGTAGAGTTTGGGCAAATTATCCTTATTCTTGGTGTCTATAATGTAGGACATCGCTAGAACCACGCTTGTCAAGTGCAAGTGAATTGTGAAAGAGGTTTTAATTGTCTCTTTGATTCAAATCGGTTGTTCATTGTGAGTTCACATCGGTAGCCTTTTGTGAAGAAGCAGCAGTTTTTTCTTCAGTTAGTTGATGCTGCAACCCGTTGTTGAATTGGTCAACTCCAGCTTTTGTACCTGGACACTTCTAATTTCAGTGGTGGCTCACTTGGAATGCTGCTACTAATTGCTAAAGATACTTTCGAAATGTCCTCTATCTTCATGTGTGCATTTCTTGACAGGTGAAAATTTAGGGTGTAATTCTTTGTGACTCATGGCCTATTCGTTGTGTAATAATGCGACGGTCTGAGTTCCTAGAGTCCGGTAAGCAAGAAGAATGGACTTGCGTCAAACAAGAGTCTCGGGTAATGCTATTAAATAGTTCACCAGGATCTAGGTAGCACGTGTTTTCCTTCTTGGAATGCAACAATCAGTAATTAGTAACTATTAATCAATAAGTTCTTGAATTTCTTATTAAGGCTTTTGTATTCTTTTCTTTTGTATTGTTTTTTGCACAATTCTTTGGGCTAATGCGATAGTGGTTGTTGTCTTTATTCGTTTAATTTTGTTGAATTTGCATAACGTAGTAAGAAAGACAGATGTTTCGACTTTAATATTTTGCTGTCTGGAGTAATGTGGAACGAATGGTGTTGATATTTATATACTCCTCTAATAGTTGACGTATTATTGACGACCTCTAAATAATCCAGAAAGCTATAGAATTAGTATGCATGGTGTAGAAAGTGACATTGAGAAGTGTGGTTAGGCCAAGAAAAGCGAGTGTTATTTTTATTAAATTTAATTTAGTGGGATGACACATAGGAAGTAATTATAAGATTTCGGGGAGCTAAATCACCATGTAGCTGAAAGAAATTTCTTTCTACAAAAAATAATATAATAATAATTCAGTAATTGTTTTTACAATATACTAATAGCAACGTATCCATTTCATAAAATCTCACCTAGTAACGTGCTTAGTGTGCTAAACGGATTAATTCCTTGAATCAAGTCTTTTGAGAAAAGGGTCACCTTTCGTATCTCGTAAGGTAAAAGACAAGGAAAATATTTTTAAGTAATTTTTTTACTGATTAAATTTATTCTCTTTTCACATGATTAACTCACTTATTTTGTGTTCACAAGTTGTAGTATTAATATTGAAGCACATATGTATGAATGAATTGATCTACAATTAAGAAAGTAAGAATCACATCCACTAACCATTTAAGGAGAAGGTTATATTTAAATATGTAGTATATTTATATATGTTACATTAATTAATTTATGTTTGCATTTCCAATTAGAAAATTCAAGATTATTTGAAAATTATGGTTAAATTTTTCATCAAAATTGATTCAAAGTTATAAACTTACTTATATTACATATTTCAGATTTCTTTCCTTTTCTTTTCTTCCCATCATTTAAAAAATTTAATCTTTAAATAATTACTTCCTATGTATCATCCTCCTAGATTAAAAATTTTAATCTTTAAAAAAAAATTCTACTAATCTTCATTTCTTCTAACAAATGTTTCTTCACCTATTTTCAAGATTTATGTTCTTATTTATATTTTCTAACCATGTAAAAAAATTAATCTAAATATCAAATCAAAAATCCCCAAATAAAAAGTATTCATTTATGTATAAATTTACATGAAAAATATTTATAAGCTATTTCTTTTTACAATTCTTCAAATAAAAATTTATTTAAGTCTAATCTATGGAAATCAAGATAAGATGATATATCTAGTAAACATATGTGCTGAAATTTAAACAATCTAACTAAAAAGGTGATTTAGGAACTCTTTAAACTTAGAAACGAAGGCAAGAAACTACTATTTTCAAAACCTTTGATTAGTTGATATTAGTCTTATTTAATTGGCTTCACATTAAAAAAAATCAATTATGGAGCCATATGGAAAAAAATTGAAAATATAATTTGTTCTTGTGTAGTAGAATAGCACTCTTCTTTAAATTTTAAAATAGACTATCCAAGCATTGGTAGTTTTTAGAAAAAACTTAAGAAGCTTTGTTAAAAATTGCTAAAAATACTTTTACAATAATATAATTCTCAAATGCTTTTTAGCGAATATATTTGTTTGGAACATTTAATAATAATGTTGAACTACTTAATTCTTCGTTTACTCAGGAGCACTAAGTTGCTCAAATTTACAAACTTGCGGCATTAAAGGGAAGTTGAAAATCTCGTTGTCAACGAGAACCTCTTAGTGAAACAAAATAAATAAATAAATAAAATTAAAAATTAAAAATGAAGAAAGAAGTTACTAACATGGCACAAGAGTTCAAAACTGTATCTAGAAAGTGAACTTACAGACGATTAGCTCTGAGAATCATGATGTTTGGAAAATATTTTGAATCATGCCTCGTGGAGCTTGATCAGCAGCCAATTCTAAACTCGCCACTTCTTCTGGTTTGAGGCGCCAACCAAGGGCACCGAGATTCTCCTCTGCCTGTTTCAAGCTCTTCACACCAGGAATAGGAATCGCTCCCTTGCATATACACCAATTGATAGCAACCTGCAGGGGCCATTGTGTCGAAATTAAAACATAATCAAATATATAATTAAGTCGTAGAGAGAGAGAGAGAGAGAGAGAGAGAGAGACGTGGACTTAGCCAGCCGATGACGATGGAATATTTTGGTAGAAATAGCTACGATGTGATTGTATTTTCACTTAGGAAAAGAGTGGAGAGAAGTCAGGATTGAAAAACAAGAAATAATGAAAGTCAATAAATAAGATGAACACTTTAGATGCACATCTCGAATGTATCCCAGAGAGTCGGAGATTTGAAGTGGTACCTGAGAGACAGTCTTGTTTCTCTTTTTTGCAATCTGGTTCATTGTGTCGAGTAATGGGCCTAGTCCAGGGAGTATCTGCTTAAATAATAAACCCCTGCGCAGAATACAACAGCAGTATGTGCTTAATCTTCCAAACAAACAGAACTTAAAAATTTGATATGTGCTTGTGCGTGTGTATATATTGGGTTACACTTTTCTGTTTTAGCAAGTTCAGAAGATATGAGAACAACAATTTATCTGCAGAAATCCAGGAAATCGAATTAGTCAAAAAAATTGTGAGATAATCCAGTTATTTTCCAACACATGAAAAGCATACCGAGGACCAGAAGGCACATTTGTAGGCGAGTATTTCCCAGTCAGCATACCCAGCCCAAGAGGACTATATGCAATTAATTGAATGCCTAATTCGTCGCATACCGTCTTCAACTCCATCTGATCAGCACCCTTGCTCAACAAAGAAAATTGAACCTACAATGCAATTCAGCAACTTGAACGAATCAGTGAAAGCTGCGCACGAGTTATCACGGCTCCTTGGTAGAATGAATAATTCGTTATGCGAAAGGGAATGATATTGCACGATTAAAATATCACCTGGACAGAGCTGAGGGGCACTCCTTTGCGATCCAGATATTTGTGGACTCGTCGTAGTTGCTTGGGACCATAATTGCTGACTCCAACTGCCTTCACTAATCCCTGTTTATGTCAAGCAAATGAAAGTGGTCAGCGATTCACTGAGCATAGAACAAATGATAGAGGGAGTTCTGATCTCGCGATGATAAGTGATCATATTTAGTCCTACTGCATACACGTTCCTGCTCTTTGAGAATAAGAAGGAATTTCAACCAGGAAAGTAACGGCGACATATGATTAAAGCCGCAAGTGTCTAACCTGCTCATAAATGGCTACCAGTCCATCCCATAAGGCCTGCTCTTGAAAAGGTGCATAATTGGCTGCACTCCAGTGTAACTGTCCAAGGGCAAGCTGCTCCATCTCCAATCTTTTCAAAGAACCTCTGTAAAGAAACACTTTACAAGTTGTATCAATGAAGTTTCTGCTAGAGGAATGTATGAACCTAGCGCTACGTTTAGTCATTATTTTTAATCGATCAATTACAGAGGGGTAAGAAGGCATCAAACTACTGACGAAGTTGACTTGTTTCGTTTGTCCTCTATTACAAATCTTACTCTTCGAAATATCTTCGATCTCACGGGTCCTTTTATTCACTCAGATTTTACGACCAAAGGGTCGTGCAAGCATTTTTTATGCCACGATGCATTTTTCCAGCTGAAATTTCTAGTCTGCCTACAGTAACTCGCCAATGTCCAAGAGACATAAATCAAAATAGGTTCAACGTACTTGCAAGCGCTCACAATCTGCGAAGGCGTCAAACGCCATGGAAACGCTGCAAACTTTGTCGCTATGTTCACATTCTTCGCATCCTTCCCTGCCACAAATTCCTAGCCATCGTTTGTAAAGGGAAATTCGGGAACGATGGAACCCTTCAGATTGACTTGAAACATTCAAACTAATCCACTCGCATGAGTACCACTAAATGCACATCTAAATTTCCTTCTCCAGTGTTCGGAATTCAATACCATACTCCGCTCTAGATTTCAACAGTTCTAGACTAACCTGGATACTCGCGGATAAATTTTCCAAGAAGCAATTCGCTTCGGCCGTTGAGTTTTCCCGTTCCATAAGAATCAGCAGTGTCGAAAAGATTAACTCCCTTGCTGACAGCCAAGTTAAAAACCTCCTGCAGCTCCGCGTCCATCTCTTCTTCGTAGCCCCATAGAAGCTGGTTTCCCCAAGCCCAGGTTCCTAACCCCATCGGCGAAACTGTCAGAGGTCCCACTGTCACCTGGAAAATCCAAATTAATAGATTAAAAGTTTTGAAACCCAACTGCAGGAAGGAGTTTCAATTAACGGGTGCAAGTAAACAATCCAAACCACAAATGAATTGTCACTCTTGAAGTCAGCAAGTCGCAAGGATCATGTAAGTATACAGTCTGGAATCTTCTACGTCTACAGGTGCGCGATTGCTTCACTGGTCTGTCCTGAGCTCTACAACTCTACGCTGACTATTATTTCGATGCTTTAAAAGAACTGAAAGTTGAGCAATCTATAGACACGACTGCTGAACAACAGCAAAATCCTCAAATTCAAGCCAAGGAGAGCAGATAACTTACACTGTCGAATTTATTGCCAATACCAAGGGAGCGAAGGAAAGGAAAAGGAGACAAGCGAGGCAATGAGGAGGGCAAATCCGCTCTCACGTATGGTCTGCAAAAAGCAGTAGGCTGCACCACCAATGCCATGAAGCCTCCTCAACTCACTAAACACCCACTCACAGTATGCAAAAGTTTGAACACTTGTTCAACACATACAGAATTGGGAACACCCTACATAGGCCTTCATCAACAAATCCCACCAACTGCCCCTGAATGCACAGGGACGCAGCAACACGCGGGAGGATTCTGAGGAAGCCATCTCATCACCCCACCTTCCACTTTGCACATCAACAGTTCATCCGCCATGACGTATGAAGCCAAGGATCCGGCACCACTGATACCTCATCCACAGCTGGGAACTGGGGATAGCAGCTGCGGTCCAGGAGTGTTGCAGGTGTAGGCTCTCGGAGAAACGAAACAAGCCCACATCATCTACAGACATTTGTGCTTGTGTGACATTCTAGGGCAACCTGTGATTCGCGTAGACAAGGATTTGCGCGCTTATTATGAAGCTTGGAGATCAGTGAGTTTTTACTCCTCTACGGAGTTTACAGGCTCGAGTGCATGGTCCAATGTTCATGGATGGGAAGCGTCTGCAGAATCCGCATTGCCATAGCTACGATTGCCGTCTCTTTGCATTAGGCGGAGGAGGATGCATATTGGCCATATAGTTAGTTATATCTTGATCTTCAACTATTATACAATTCCACCGGCCTCTTCAGGATTCAAGCACGGTTGTAAAGACTCGTGGTTATCAGCTGCACATGGAAGTCATAGTCTGGCGGTAACTCAGCATGCGTTTGGATCCAATGAGATGTGTTGCGGTTCAGGTGATGGCGTGAAGAGGTGTGGAGTAGCATAGCTTACAAACCAATGTATTCAGTAGAGGTAGTGGAAGCTTCTGTTACACATTTCCAAATCAGAGTTGCAACTCAAGGATTCGCAATCGAACGTGTCGCTCAACGAAGCGGCAGCACCAGTGAGACCTTACCCTGTTGAAGAACATCGCGGGTTGTGTCTGGCACAGATGGAACAATAAATCACAGGATGTGGATAAAGCGTTAGCGAATTTGGAAGAGACTGTTGCGCCGTCGTTTCGTTCCCAGATTACAGCAAGCACACGATGCTGTAATCTTTCCTCCTTAGATTAACTCTCGTTCAACTCGTCTTTTTGACAAGGTTTCCGTGTACTTGGAGTCATGCAACAATTAACATCTAGATCGAATGCTGGATAAATATCTCAGTTTTAGCTTTCAAGCTAGAAATTCGATCGTAATCCTTACACCAATTGATGATAAACCAAGCACGCCAAAACAAAAAGACAAATTAAACACTAGATTTTGGTCTGTTCCCGACGAGAATTGAAAAAAGGATATGTAGAAACAGGGAACAACAGAGCATCACGTTCTTTATAAATGGTTCAGCTACGACGTAAATTTGATTTTAGCTATGTTTTGCAACATGAGGTTGAGTATAGGACTGTCATCTAAAGTTTTACCTTGACCATCAAGATCCTAAAGTGCTTTCAAATGTGGCCATGCTTGCTATCAGACGTCCTTAATTTATTAAATTAACACTGGTTGAAAAGTGGAATGAAGGACATAATGAAGGAAATGTGAAGTTCTGATGAGTGGACTAAATGAAGAGTTGTTTGAATCTGAAATTCGAGAAATGTAAAAGTAGTGAAAACTGAATTGTTTGAAGGTGTTAAACTACAAGTGGTTACGATAAGACACCTCTCAAGCTTATTAATTACCAGTTTTGAGTAGCGAGTGGAAAGCTTCTTGCGGGATGTCCACGTTACCTACTCGCTTCATCCGTTTCTTGCCTTCCTTTTGTTTCTCCAGAAGTTTTCTCTTGCGGCTCACATCTCCTCCGTAACACTTAGCCAGCACATTCTTCCTCAAAGCAGGCAGTCTGCATGACATCACCAACAAAATTCAGTATTGTTGTACCACGATGCCCCAGTCTACAAGTGTTGAGTCTAAAAAATTAAAAAATTCAAATAAAAATAAAAATTGCATAGAATTGCATTGAACTGAAAGCAACATGGATAGAACAGCCCTTACGTCTCACGAGCAACTACTTTGGCGCCGATAGCAGCCTGAATGGCCACTTCAAACATTTGCCTGCCCCATCCAGGCCCATGACATCAGAATTAATTTGTCACACACCATCATCGTAAAACAAAAATAATAGTGACTTCACATGCTAGAAGACCTAAACAATGAAAGCTCACCTGTCGAGAACTTTCTTAAGTTTCTCACAAAGCTCCCGACCAACATAATGAGCCTTACTGCGGTGGCAAATGCTCGCCAGTGCGTCCACAGGTTGCCCATTTAACAGAATATCAAGCTTTACCAAATCTGATTCTTGATACCTGGCATGAGGCAACTTTGGATCCATTACCAACTTTAACGGTAAATAGAAAACCCCTATAAAAGAGATTTGTTAGCTGCAAATGCTGCGTAACAACAGTGAACACCTGAACAGGATTGCAGCGTTTTTTAGAATACATTGATTTTGAAGATTATTGGTGAGACTTACGGAGCTTCTTCGTAATCAAACGAGGCGTAGCCCGAAGTAATACTTTTCAACTCATTGTAAAAATCAATTACAACTTCACGCAGCGGCATACGGTATTTGAGCATTGCTCGTTGCCTGCAGAAACGAAGAGCATTAACAGTGACACATCATGAGCATTACGAGAAAACCACGACTTTTGAATACTTCCTCTGCACTTAACTCAACCTTCGCCAAGACAAAGGAGGTCAATGGGAATTACCCATCGATAAAAGAATACTCTGTTTGCTGGCCCCGTCTTTCCGAACACAGTGTCATCAGACTACCAACATACCTATTTCACAAACAAATCGAAGCGACAAACGTTTTAAAAATACTAAAAAAAGAAAAAGAAAAGGAAAAACAGACGCCACAACAGACACACGCCAACATCGTCGACCAGGAAAATTGACATTCTAGATAAGAAGTCAGAGAAAGTGCACCAAGCAAAATATCCAAAGTGGGGAAGTTCAAGAAGCGAAGCTATTTTAAGAAAGAAAATGGTTAAGGAGCTTACTCACTGGGGGTGATTATAGTGGCCATCACTGTTGGCTCATAGCATGCCACAAGTCTTGATTTAGGATTAGATGGCAATGCAGCTGGATTTTGGATAGTCAACTTGCTGGGAGAAAAATAATTAAATCAGTTGCTGGGCAAATGCACAAAGTACTAACATCACAATCTACGCCCACTACACGCTTTGGTGCACAAGGGAAGGCACGAAAAATCGGGTATTCAAGAGCACATACGCTGAAAACAAATTACAAATTAGTGATGAGAACTGCGTGTTCTGTACAGGGATTCGAGAAGCAGAACACTGTACTGAAACTATGCTAAATCTAGAAATAACAACAATATATGCATTTATAATCCCTCTCCGTTTATACTCCACACCAAAAACTTGATGGCTTGTCTCTTCCAGAAAAAGACATACATACCTCCCATCCGAGTACTCAAAAATGTAAGGGACAGTTGGGGTGGTTGTGATTACTTGAGCTCCATGCTCCTGCATTCAACCACTCAAAAGTTCATGGTGAGATTTCGGCAGTTTAACAAATAAATAGAAGTCAAAACACCCTTCATCCCGTTAAGAACGCAAAAAAATCTGGCACCCAAGAACTACATTGAAGGACGTTAACAGGATAAACAGAAATAGGCCAAATCTAAATCCATTCATAATCACAATAAAAGGTGAGATAAAAGAATTGAAAGGACTACCCTACCTGCTCTAGACGCTGATGAAACACATCCATGTGAAGAAGACCAAGGAAGCCACACCTGAATCCAATCCCGAGAGCCCCACTAGTTTCTTTTGCAATTGAAACGCTTGCGTCATTGCAAGTTAAGCGTTCAACTGCAGAACTAAGAGCCTCGTAATCTGAGCCATCCGCAGGATACACTCCAGCAAATACCATGTGCCTTGCTGGCTTAAAACCTAAAAGACACAAGAGACCATTAGAAAGTATAAAATTAACTCCTGATCCATGCACGGGTCTAAAGGATGAGTTCAGCACCGTTTCATAACTTTATTTCTCATCAAAACAGAAGAAAGCACAATGAATCACTACGCATGAAGAGAGTGGATACCTGGAAGGGGCTCAACGACACTACGCGTATGAAACAAAGTGTCTCCTATACGGGCCTCCTTGGTAGAGCGCATGCCAGTAACCACATATCTGTTGGCCACGAAAGACAATTCAAGACCACTTGCGATCATTGGTATGTGAACTAGAATGCTAAGTAACTATCAATGTAAATCTGTTAGAAAACTGAGAAATAATGCTAATATAATTCACCTTTCATTACAACAATCTTTTCATGCCGAATGATAAGCAGATAATGACAACACATTCGAAACAGAATGAACTTACCCAACTTGACCCGTCAATAATATTCCTGTGTTGGTTAGCTCGGGATACAAGATGCCAACTTCCATGATCTCGTAGCTCTGCCGAGTGGCAGCTGATTCGATCTTATCTCCTCGCTTCAAAACTCCGTCGACAACCGCAACATGACATATAACACCTCTGTATTCATCGTAGTAAGAATCAAGCAACAGCATGCGGAGAGATGCATCAACCAGTCCTTTAGGTTGCGGTATTCGCTCAATTACAGCAGGCAGAATGTTCTCCAGCCCTAGTCCTGTTTTAGCTGATGTAAGAAGAACGCTTTCGGGATCAATGTCAAAAATTTGTTTCAATTGCGACTTGACGCCCTCAGGATCAGCGTTAATTTGATCAATTTTGTTGATAACTGGAATGATGGCCAGATCGGATTCAAAAGCCAAATAGAAATTCGCAACAGTCTGCGCTTGCACACCCTGAGCTGCATCCACGAGGAGGAGGACACCTTGACAAGCTGCCAAAGACCTGGAGACCTCATAACTGAAGTCCACATGGCCAGGAGTGTCAATCAAATTGAGAAGAAACCGCTCATTTGCACCCCCTGTCTTCTTTGACCTATAGTTGTAAAACATTGTCGCAGTCTGTGCTTTGACTGTGATTCCTCTCTCTCTCTCGACCTACAACAAAAGCCATGAATGTGTGAAATTTAAATTCGCAACACAGTGAAAACAAAATACTAAACATCGAAGCATAAATGAAAATCACTTCCTTGAATAAACATCAGCTCTCATATGGGAATTCACAGAATGCACCATGCATGATGAATTCATTCATAAAATTTTAATATTGGCTTGAAGATATGTATTTATCTTTATAATTCAAGGACAGAAGAACTATTCGCAATCCTTTACTCGTACCTGCAATTTGTCTAAAAATTGAGGCTGTCCATGGCCCTTGCGAATGGTGCCTGTGAGCTCCAGCAGCCTGTCTGCTAACGTCGACTTTCCATGATCAACATGCGCAATGATAGAGAAATTGCGAATCAGGTGAGGTGGATATTGTTTCAGATCCACATTCTCTTCTTTCCCACCCGACACAACTGAATTATCAGTAGAGAGTTCTGCTTTACCGCCCCACCACGGTGCATTTGCCAAAACCCGATTTCTACCAGCGATCGATCCAAACCAAGGTCGAGAGTTCGCTGCGAGTCCAGACCTAACGCAGGTACTGGGTTTTCCAGAAAGGCTTAGGAGAAAGGACGTGAGCGCGAGAGGCGCTCGGATCGATGGCATTCTCCCCACCATTGTTAATAAGGAAACCCACTTCTTCCCAATTGACGGTCCACAGCAGCTTAATTACGGCAGCGCGCATGGCGAAAGAGCAACCCACAGAACACTACTGACTGCACGAATGACTTCCACAAATCCGACTGAAGGGCAGATGCTTTGCAATCTATGCAGCTCCCAGTTTTCCATAGCAAGCTTCAAAAGAAACCGACTTCACTCGTTGTCAAACCAACCTCACGAAATGAACGCTTATCTCACAAATATTAGGGTTTTTCCCCCGCCCATAAGATGGAACAAAACTAAAATGCATTGAAATCTCGCCGATTGAATACCTGGCATGTCCATAAACCCACTTGACAAGTTAGCTACTTGAAAATCCAGCTGAACCCTCCGGAAATAACCCACATCAAAGGAACAGCCACCACTTTCAACATACACCCAGATTTTCCGTGTCTCGAAGGCTCACGCAGGGTTGAGGGTTTTGGAAACATGATGGTTGATTACACCACAAAACCACAGCCCGGCGGACGATGAAACATTGGATGGATGAATGGGTTTCATTTATGGGCTCCTCGTCTCTCAAGTGCCGAGAATCGGAACCGGCGATCAAACCCAGTTTCACGACCAAGCTGACGGTGGGGGCGCCCCCATGTGCGGTCGTTGGAATTGATACAAAATGGTGAATCCAAGATCTCTAATCATAGGTTTAGCACGATTCGTGGAGGAAGGCTCTGGCGTGAATCTAGAGCGACAAAGAATTCTTCCATGTCAAGTGCGGAGTGACGTCAAAGGCCGAAAGGTGCGGATGAATCACGCTCTGCGATATTATACGGTACAACACCATGATAATCTCAGTGGCAGCCGCGTTTGGTGGCCGGGATGGCTTGTTTTCCTCTCTGCTTGTTTCTTCCATCACAGCGGAAAGGAGTTCATGACATAGATATTCAAGTCTGTGTTCAGATGGAGCTAGGTTGAAGGACATCGTGATAGGAATTAATATCCTCCTACGGGCCTCCTCACGCTGGAGTTAAGGCACGTGTGGGACCCAGGGCGGAATCCAACTATTTTTGGTTGTGAAGTTGCGGATTTCTCCGAGGGCCACTTGACACCACAAACAAAATCATTCTTACAGAAAACAAGGACCCTAAAACTAGGAGCACACACCGTCAAACCATTTTTCTTCAATCCAACTCTCAATCTTCGATGTGAAACTCGAGATCACGTGAGAAGCTTTCTCCTTGGCTTGGTGCACAGAGCGAAACGAACCGTAGCCCCTCAAAGCTGTTCTTTATGTATTTTGTTCAAAACACAGACTCACACTTCTCCTCCCAAGTGGTATCAATGTCTGAGCCACCTGCCATCGCTGCATCCGTCCCATAATCCCAATGTGCTCACCGTGCGTAAAGTCCGCATTGCCAGGCAAGCTTCAGAAGGTGCGCGAGCACAAGCCAGCGCACTTATCAACGATCGTTTCTGGAGCCACTTCGACAGCATTCAATCCTCACGAACGAGAGATTCTTACGCGATCCTACCTGAAAGCGAGGTGCGCCATCAGGATCTGAAATCACTGAATCCTCGCTGCACATGTGTACGAAGAGGCGAATCACTCTGCAGCAATAACGTTCCGGTACTTAACCACGCGTTACCAGAGTCAATGCTTGGAACGCATGAGCAAATCCACCACGCAACGCACAATCTTGTCGTGATGTTTATGGGGCGTAATGCGGAGTGCAAGCCGATCAGTAATCAGTGATCATCCATGAGTTGCTGTTTGTCTCGCTGACTATCCGAAGCTTTTCAATGTAAAAATACTATTTCGTGATGAAGCTTACTTATTCACTGCAGTTATGGCGGTGAATTCAATCAGCCATGTCTCGATGATGGCGCTTTCATATTTTTTGCCATTGTGGACTCTGGAACTTGGCGATTATCACTTTCTGTTTTGCAAAGTACAGGGAGAGGCATAGACGTTTTATGGCTTTCTCAAGTGGACAGAGCTACTACTAAAGGATGTAACAAAATCGTTGTATGTGTGCACATGCATATCCATTTTCATACTAAGGCTAACTAAGTGTTCCAACCTGGAATATGGAGCGCCAACTACAGAAATAAGCGTACACTGTATTAATGCAGTAACAGCTTTTCCAGATAACTGCAAACTCACTTCACAGAAATTTATACCGGTCTTCAATTAAAAGAGGTTTGGTTGTTGCAACGTTCTAATACGATTGTAATATTTTATTTTGAATGTTTGAATGCAATACGATGATGGCTCAAAAAATCAGCATCCTCTATCTCCAAAATAACGACAAGTTTTCACATTTGCACGGTAAGTCATAATTTGTTGATATGGTACATCTCCCGCAATGGTAGGAATTCAAAGGTTTACTTTATAAAATACAATGTTGCGTAACTGAGGACACTACCATGACACATTTATTTCAATAATATTAATCTCGTCGCCTTGTTGCACAATGTATATATATATATATATATATATATGTATTCATTTTGTCAAGAATCTAATATGCCACATTACATGCAAGTATGATAATATCTGGCAACATTGCATTGGAAACGACTCTGCAGTGGAGCGGTAAGATCACGAAGAAAACTTCAGAATAAGAACAAAACAACAAATCCACTCGAAAAACCCTTGAAAAACAGAGAAAGACCTCATATTGTGTTTCTTAACAAACAAAGGAAGAAACACAATATGAAGGTAAAATATCATCTTCAAAACAATTTGCACAAAACTCATTCACAATGACCGATAGATACATAGATTAGGATTTGGTTACTCTTAGAAGTAAACAAGGTGCAACATCAAGCTCAAAATGAAGAAGGAAGGTGCCCAGATTTCCATTACCAGGGGCTCAGATTCACAGTATTCATGCTCTTCCCTTCGAGATTGTCACCGTTCCGTGTACAGACAAGCTCGATGAACACACACGATCATGTTCCGGTGACCCACAAACCCACACACATGAACCTTGTGTCAACACTGCATCTGAAGCTGAGAAATTTGAATGTAGCCCATTTGCTGCAGTAGTCATTCTCAGATGCCGATCTGTTGAGGTCGATCTGAAGAATGAAGCAGAAATCGTCGTCCAATTCGAAGGAACTCCAGTCTTCCAGCTACTACGCACTTTGACGGAAGAGTTTCACTGCTCCCTCTGCATCTTCTTCTTCTAGCTTGTTTTGTTCTTGAGGTCCTCAACAGGATGCGGCAAGTGGTCCCATATTCAAGATATAACTACTCATTCGTATCTCGTCGGTGGGAGTGATTATTTACGGAGGGAAGCATCGAACGCGTCGTCGTTACATTCAGAGCGGCATTTGCAACACGAGACTGGTGTAAAAGGTCTCATCAAACCAAACGACGTGGATAATGAGACATATAGTGCTGGAAGCTCGTCAACCAAAGAGGTAGACTTACCAGCGCTCGCTGACACGCTGATAATCCTGGCATGGCCGGCTGGATTGTCACCGACCGCCGTACACACAATGCGAGCCTTGCGCAAATTGGTCTTCGAAATGTCTTGCACCGAGATCCAGCTCTTGCACTTTGTGGGAAGTACGCCCTGTACTCGTTGCGTTGAAGCTGACAAAATGAACCGAAGCCGTGAATTTCTTGTGTGCCTATTGTGAGTACACCACTTTCAACAGCGTAGAACCTGACAGAAAGTGTAAAGAAGTGGGAGAAGGGCAATTACTCGGAAGTGTTTGGTAAAGTGCATCATCTCTGATAAACCTCTCAGCACTGCAGCCTTCGAAATTCTGAACCGAAAACGCAGCCCTATGTACCTAAAGATAGTAAGTATCGACCGTTCTCTTGTGCTCTAGGAAAAGAAATGGATAGCAATCATGTTAGGGTGGGAGCGGAGTTCCGAAACTGGCAAGTGTGGGTGGATCATCAGCATTCATAAGGGGAGTGTGTGCGAATTTGCTGTCACTTCAAAGGGCTTTTCTGGAGTTTTTATTATTTTCTTTTGGCAGCCACGCATGCGGCGCTGGCTAGCTGGGCACTCTCGCCACCACGCCTCGGGGTGGGCAGCCGTGCCATCCTGGAGCAGTGCTAAACTGAGGACTTGTTTCCGGGCCCGAGGGAGTCGGCAGGAATACAAGGGAGAGCTCATGAATAGTGGCACACTCGTCCGCCCACATCTGTGCTTTTTATACTCCTCCCTTTCCTCCTCGGTGTTTCCTCCCCCATCCCCCCCTCAATCTCCCCAACCCCCCCCCCCCTTTCAACCTCCCCTCTCCACCTTCCTCAGGCTACCTTCACGACGCGGCAGATTCCTGTGAGCAGGCGCTTGACATTAATGCACACATTGCGACCAGGTGCATGCAGAGTGCACCCAATCTTACGATCTGAGCAGGCCCATAGTTAATGAACAGGCAAACAATGTGGTATGGCGCTATCGGAAGCAAGTAATCCTGCGCCGGGGTTGGATGTTGGGCAGAAAGCGCTGGAGAACGTGGGTGTCGCGAGAGGAAGCAGTGGAGAGCTGGGGAATAGTAGCGAGAGCGGGTCGAGTACAGAGACGGTGAGAGAGGAGAGCAGTCCCCGACCATCAACCGCGACGGGCATATTCTTCCGCGAGTTTCCTGCCCGTTTGTCTGGCTTCGATTCACTTCGTGATCGCGGGAATGTAAGCTCGGGGAGTTTGGGAGTGCGACCGAGTACAGATAGCCATGATAGCAGGCGTGACGGCTTCCCGCGAGGTTTCTCTGTTGTGAGTCCCGCTTTCGCGGGGTCACGTAGGATGGTAGAGAACAGCGATGGCGTCCCTAGTAAAGGGGAAATAACGGAAAATGTAGTGAGAGACCAGCAGGGTGCGGGCGGGATGCAGAGGATGGTGGCGATGGATGCAGAGGATTCTAGCAGGAGCATGGCGATACAGTTTGATAGTGAAACGAAAGACAGGGTCTTGATTGACGATTCACCGGTGCGCGGTGGTAGTGAGCGGAATGAGATGACGCCGGAAATGGGGAGTTTTCATTTGGGCCAAAGTGAAGATAGCGATGTGGACGAATCGCGTCTGGAAAAGAGTCTGGGTTCTTTAGCAGCCCGGAGGCATGACCACAAGCGGCACAGCTATATCAAGAGAAAGAACTCGACTGATGAGAAAGTTGCGCCTGTAGATGGGCTCCCTGTCAAGAGCCAGTTGTACGATGGATTTGTTCGTGGGACGGAGAGAGCTCACGACGCCAAGCGCGATGGATACATCTCTTCGCGTCTATTTGCTAGACCACTGGCTGGCAGGGTGAGTCTACTTAAGCTTATTGAATATTAATAGCTCGTTAAACAGAATTAGTGCAATGTTATCGGTATGGAAACAATCGGACAGAGCGTTAAAAATAAAGGAACTTCCTGAGTGCGTAACTTTCCAGACTGCAGGCACTTCTTAAAGCTCCACGTTCATGATAGTGTTGTCCGAGTGAAGCTTTTTCGGCAGCTGTAGAAGAGTGGAATTGCAACCCTTGTTGGTGCAGCGTTTCTGAGCTATACAGTGAACAAAGGTGTCCCAACGTTTCGACGCAGACCTTAGCATTTCATGTGCATTCCTACACAAGAAGATCCTTGTGTGGGCTGAACTTCTTAGTAACTGGTTTTTTGTCGGATTTGAATTCTGTTCGCGCGACCAGTACATGCTCTCTCTCTCCAGAAGCCTCGAGAGCCTATAACCTTGGAGGGCTGTGTTTTGAACCCTCGGCCATCTGCTGCCCGTGTCTATCACCCTTCAGCTGAGCCTCATCCTTACGTAATCCTGAGTTGAGCATCATTGCTCTGCAAGCTCTCAGCAGTTTTTTTATCCTGGGCTGATAAAGCTAATGGAAGGATCCCACCTCCTCCTGCGTCAGGGTGGTTGATAAATGGTGCTTCTTCAGTGTAATTGTCAGAGAGTCAAGGGAAGCAGTACATGTAGGAGTTTTAAGTTGTGTGTTGCTTTCTGAGACTCCGTTCCCTCGAGGGTCCTTTCTTGATTTTCTAAACAAATTTCTTTTCCCTCCGCTATCGAGACTCGTGTATTGCTGGTGGGTTGTACGAATGTTGGGGGTGGAACTCTTGACACTGCCTTGACTCGTGCGCTCTGAATGTCCAAATTTTAGGAAGAAAATTTCAGCAACTATAACTCGCCGTCACCAGATGCTCAAGCTGAAACGAATATGGGAAGCATTGAGATAACATTGAATGGCGGACCTGGCTGGAGCAACGTGCATCCACGGGGGAACAGACCTGAGCCTCGGCATTTTGTAAGCCCTTGCCCAAGCTTGAAGTTGAAATGACATGCTCTGCTCTCTTGTCTGCTACTTCATTACACAATGGCTAGTCCTCTGCTGTGTCAATAGTTTCATCACATCACCCTTCTACTTCTGTGGCACACTGCTACCGAGTGATGGCAATTTCATGTGTGTGATGTAATTCTTGTATGTCCTTGCCGAGGATATACGTATTGTATGTGTTTAAGAACATCGTTGCTAGTATTCACGTCTTTTCATTGATGTGGGAAACGGCAGCATGCAGCAACTGTTGTGGGACGCAGAATGGTGGTGGTTGGAGGACAAACTGCCTCTGGGCCAAGCAACGACGTGCAGGTATTTTTTACTGTTAAGCTGCAAGTGCTTCTTGAATTCAGAAAGATCTTATACATTCGAGTTTTTGGAAATAAGCATTCATTTCCAATTGTAATAGTAATTTTTGTTTGCAGATGTTACATCTCCATAGAATGATGTGGTCCGAATTGGGTAGAGGGAGAGCTTTTGCAAATGGGCAGCCTGGGAACTTGAAAGCCTCAACGCCAGGACCGCTGCCTCTGTGCAGGGGTCACAGCCTAGTCAGTACTTTTTCTATCCCACCATTTCCATCATAATCTGAGCTAGTCGTATACGACGGATTGCAATGCCTATTTAGAGTATTAATCAAATATTTGTAACCGAGGCTGCAGATTTCATGGGGGAAGACTGTACTCTTGATCGGCGGAGAACTGAATCCGGGCAGTGATAGAGTTGAAGGTATTATCATTATTTCAACTTGTTTCAGGATGGTTACGTTAGTTGCAGTGACTGAGATTCAAGTCATTTGTAGGCTGGCAGTCGTCTCGAAGATTCCCGTGCTTAATCATCACCTCCTGCAATATTTATATGCCATCTTCTCATCACTGAGTCTTAATTATTAAAAAGATTCTTCTTGCATGTAGTTTGGTCTTTCGACCTGGAGATGGAATGTTGGACTAGAATCACAGCCAAGGGGGAGATTCCGGTAACTTCTTCGCAAGCCTTTATCTTTCAAATTTGTCCATTTTGGCAGTAAGCGAATTTTTACTCGTTCGAAATGAGTGCTCGTAAGCTCTCAGATGAGCTTCATCTTAAGCTGTCCATTTGGTATATGCTGAGCTCCGCAATGTTTGCAGGCGGCAAGAAGTGGTCAAAGTGTAACGAGAGCAGGAAGCATACTTATTATGTTTGGAGGGGAGACGCCTAAAGGACAGAAGCTGAATGATCTTCACATCCTTGATCTGAAATCTCTCATGTGGCTGCCGTTGCACACTTCGTAAGTTACAGAAGCCTTTAATTTTGGGGAACTTTTATACTGAAATACTTGACTGTCAACGTCGGTTTTTTCCTTTTTTTCCATTTTCGCATAGCTAGAAACGTGGAGTTGACGTTTAATATCGTATGAATCTTGGTGCAGGGGTTCTGGGCCTTCACCACGTACAAAACACTGTGCTGCAATGTATGACGATCGCTATCTACTGATCTTTGGTGGAGCTTCGAAGTCTAAGCCTCTGAATGATCTATTTGCTCTGGACTTTGAAACGGTAAGATGGTTTGTGACTATTACTGGATAAGCATCTTTTTCTCCTTTCATGAATATTGAGAATCCTAATGTCTCGCGCAACAAGATACAAAATCTTATTATCGCCAACAAAGCTCTCTATTATTTTTCAGATGGAATGGTCCAAAATGAAAACAAAAGGCATCACTCCCTCTCCTAGATCTGGCCATGCTGGTATTCTAGTAGGCGATAAGTGGTACATTGCCGGGGGAGAGACTCGTGGTCACGGTAACCTTTTTGCCCAAGATTATGATGTTATTCTGCTAATTACTTTGAAGCTTCATGTATGTTCATCTCTGTTCTAGAGGGAGATACTGTTTCTACTGTCATCTAACAGGTCACCATGAACTTGTTGCAGGCTCGACAGAGACGCTAATGCTTGATGTCGCTAATTTAACCTGGTCTGGAATTGCTGCAACTACTGCAAATACACCCGTTGCCAATCAGGTTGCTAAATATCGGTGACTGTTCAAGAGTCACTTGCTGTTCCACAGTTTATTGCACAGGGCCAGTCCTTCGGTTACCCACATTGTATCATAAACCTCCGTCTTTTATGTCCCTGCATGTTCGTTACAGGAATACTTTAGATCGGTTATTTTGCTTTGAAGGCGTGGGGCGTGGTAGTTTGAATGAACGTAATGGTTAAGTCGTGTTGCATTAAATTTACGAAGATGCCCTGGCTCAAGGGTTGCTAACTACACTTTCTTGTCACAGGGTCTGAGCTTGGTGCTTGTTCAGCGAAAGGAGAAGACAATGTTGGTAGCTTTTGGGGGAAAAGGAAGTGAAGTTTGTAATCAGGTTCTTGCTGTTCCCTGATCTGAGAAGCGAGCTCTCTTCAAGAGAGCTGTTGATGGCCTCATCGTAGTGCTTTAGCGATGCTTAAATTACTTTGTGTCCACTTCCAGAAAATCCACACCAGACTATTTTTATTTTTCACTGTTTTTTTGGCATATCAGAGAGGTGAAAGTGGATACTTGCTTCGAATCAAGCCATTTGATAATGTGTTGTCTCCTTGTATGCAGGTACAGGTCTTGTATATAATGCCATTGGATCACGTGAAGAGGTCTTCATACAGCGGTAACTCGGAAGCAAGAGACAGTCAATCGAATGCCACAGCACCAAGCGTAGCTGGATCAGGGCTGTCATGTGCATGTGTAGATGTAGCGAAGGCTCATTTATCTCCTCTGTCAGAAGAACACTGTAGCTCACGTAATTCACCTGGTAACTCTCCTTTACCGGAAGCTCCTTTTGATTTAACTGGTGTAATTCCTCTACGGAGACGATATGGAGCTGAAACAAATGAAAGCAAGTACTCAACTCCTCGTCAACCTCCAGAAGAGATTTTGTCGAGGGTTCTAAGAGAAACATCGTCTCATAGGAGTTCACCCTTGCAGCAATACAAGGTCAGTAAGATCTGTGCTGTTGATTTACTTTTTGAATACAAGGCTTGCCTTCTCAAAAGTTTAATATCTGCAAGAAGTTGGAACGACAAGAAGTGCAATCATTAAAACAATTTGGCACGCCAAGCCGCAAGTTTACTATTTTTTCAATGATTTCCAAGAGTAGGTCCTTGAAAGTGTTTGCACTTGATCTATTATTTGTGATTGTAGAGTCTTTCACAAGGGAAACCATATTATTTTTTTTAATCATAAGTCATGAATATAATCGTTTTGGGTGAGTGTTAAGATGACCGCTTGGTGCAATTCTATTGACTTCCTTTTAGCAGGGTTTTGATGGGGTGCATGCAGATCTGGAGATGAGGGGTAAGTTGGCCCCTATAGTAACACGCAGCTCAGAGAACCCAAGAAAGCCTGAAGGTTCCACTAGAAGGAAGGAATCTTTGGATTTCACTCTTTCGTCGGTGATGAAAAGTAGGGAGTACGTAGACTCCAGAAGGGGAGTTGTCACTGACCTGAGCCTTCGAACGAAGTCTCATGCCAGTGATTGGGCTGAAAGTCTGTTTACTGCATCGCAAAGGCATAGCTGTGAAGGGGAAGAATGTAGCGACAGTCAGCTACTTGCGGACCTACAGGATGCTATGACTATGGAAAGACGCATACACTTGATTAATAAGTACAGACAAAGCTTCGAAATGAAACTAGCAGCTGCTGTGCGCAGGGGTGAGCTTGCAGAAGGACAACTCTCAACTGCTCTCAAAGGGAAAGAAGAAGCAGAAAAAAGCCTTCAATTAGCATTGAAAACTCGGCAACATGCTGAAGGAAAGCTTGCAGCCTCTCTCAAGGGACAAATGGATCTTAAAGAGAGAGTTGCCGCCGCTGAGAGAGCACAAGAAGACTCGAATAATCTGTGCAACGTGGTTCATTCAGAGAATCTGAGGTTGGAGCATGATCTGGCTTTCCTCAAGGCTGTCCTTGAGGACACTCAAATGGTATGAGCACTACGTCCGCTACGTCCAACTTGTGAAAAAAATCTCTAGAAGAGTATCACGGTGATCTTCTCGAGTTCAGAGTGTCAAATCTCTTCACATGCTCTGGGTAGTCTATATCCTGACATGAATATTGGACCTGTAGACCTGGCAAGTCATTTGGACTCGAGCAAACATCTGTGCCTTCAAAAACGTCCCCTATTCGAGTCTAGCGCCTTCACAGTTCGTAGACTACAGCTATCTTCTACATTTTTAGGTTTTCTACAAGTACCTGATCGTGTGTTACAGTCCGTGACTCATTCGCTTTGGACCATCATCTGCCTGGTTTGCAGGAGTTACAATCAACCAGAGAGTTGCTTGCCACTGAACGGACGAGGTCCTTCAATCTGCAGGTAACCGTCGATCATTTACCACCCCTTTTGCACGCACTGTTCTAGGAGAGTTCAGTGTCTTTAGTTTTCTACTATGTTCAGCAGTGATAGCATCCCTGAGCATTATGTATCTCAGGATTGGCAAACACTGAAAAGATACAGCGACTTGGGTAGGAATCCAAGCCCAACATCAACCTTCTTACCTTTGATCCTCTATGGTTGTAGATGGAGGTATTTGACCTGAAGAAGAAACTGCCGCCATCAATGTTAACAGGAGAAGGATCTGAATCGACTCCGGGGACGCAGTTATTGCCGTCATTTGAAAATGTATCTGAAGCTGAATGAGCTTACTTGCTATTCTCTGGTGGCAGTGGACGGAGGTGGTCTAAACCATTGGTAATCTTAGATAGATTGTGTAAACACCCATTTGTATCACATACAGCTTAAGATTTTTTTCTTTACGTTTTCTTTTTTACCCACCTCCCCCTTTGTTTTTTCTCTTAACTATCATGCACTCTCTATGCCCGGGACAATTGTGCAATCAAACGTGTAATTTTCAAATGGGTTTTCATTGATCCAGATGTGATCAATAAACGTGTATCAGTCATTGTAGCATTACCTGTTAAATAATGGCTGCTGTTCTAGTGTACTGTACACTGCCATTTCATAGTACCTTCACCAGTAATAATCTGTAAACTGAATGTATGAGATGAAAGGCGAGGGAAAAGCAGGCATTGCTGATCCACTGCATTATTTTTTCACAAGTCTGCTCTGATCCCATTTCTGATGGGTGATGGAGACTGACATTTGAAACCCTAAAGCCACCGGCTTTATCATGCTTTCACCAGCAGCACCCACTTCCAATATCTTCATGAAGGTACCAATAAACGTGAAAAAACCTGTGACACATAATTTGTTAGCATGAACAATTTTTATTCTGGAAAGTTGATCTTTTGTTGTGTACTTGGTTGGGAATGTGTCACTGCAGTTCACTGTTCCCAATGCGAAGCACATAGCGTACATTTTTATTGTTAGAGTCGAATGTAAAAGGTTAGTATATTATATTCTTTAAATCCAAATAAATTAGTGTTGCAGATTGGTTGGGAAAATTTATAGATGGAAATAACAAACTTTAGATCTTAGCATTCAATGTATTATAAGAAAATCACTGGACAAGACTTTGAAAAGACAAAAGATACAAGGTGCAGAACCATATTTAGGCCATTCAGTATAAATTTGTGGTTATGATTTCATTATATTTTATTTCATTAAATTTTTATTGATTTGTTAACTTCGACATGATTTGTATGATGATCCTGTGATAAACTTGTCCTAATTAATCTTAATATGCATGTTTAATTCTTCACAATATACACTAATAAAATTTTGTATGTGTGTCGAAAATTGGTAAAATTAAATTTTACTTGTATTTATATAAACACCAAAAACTTGCAAATATTTTGACTGAATTTTACATCACACAGTTACAAACTGACTGCAAAATAAAAGAAATACACATACTTTACTGTATGAGTTGTAATGAAAATACTAACAGATGTCGTTGATATTCTTTTAATTTGTTAATTTGCATATTATTAAATAAATAGTAGTTGCAAACAAACATATGTTTAAGTAATGAACACTTTATAATCATAAATACAACTATTTATTTGTAGAAGGTGTAAATTAATGATATGATTGACGAAAATTCATTTGAAGGTTAAATACAGTAATATACTTATACAACTTATTCATAGTTTGGTAAAAATAAAATTTACTGTTGATGCAAAATAGATTGTATTTTAATTTTGTATATCTCTTTTAGTATACATATACCATAAATACATGTGTTCTTTCAAATGCTAATTTAGTTAAAATGTTTTACTTGAGTAACCAACAGAAATTTCAACTAAATGCAAAAAAAATTAAGTTATGACAGTTATGATATCTCCTAATCTGAAAACTATAAATATTATGAATCATGTGCATCAATATTTTTCTGTAAAAGCCACTAATCTGGTGCATGATTTGTCTTAATGGGTTCAATGATAATTTATAGTTTTCATCATAATTTAAAGAAAAGAAAAGAAAAGGAAAGAAAAAACTGACATGGAATAGGTTTCTTATAAATGGTGATAAATATAGATCTTATTTAGATTTTATTTTTTCAAAGTACAACAGAAAGTTGCACCAAAGGAGCCTTCAATATCACCTTTTACTTAATTATTTAACTTTTAATTTGGAAATAAAACAACTAATAGGCCACATGAATGATATTTTAAATATACCCATATGAATCCTTAGATCTTACATATTAGTAGATCTAACAACCAAAAAAATTGATTAAAAGATATATATAAAAACATGTTGAAGTATATATATATATATATATATATATCTACATACATACAGACATAGGGGAATATTAAATAGTCCCACGTTTTTATTAAATCGACCTACCCATGATAAAGAATATGGTTATCATGATTAATGTGGTTGGTTTTCATTGGTTTCAGATTTAATAGTGGAGAAATGAATCTAGTGGTTTTTTTTATTTATTTTTTATGATGGGTGGATAAATTTAGTAAAACCCTGAGTCTATTTAACATTCATATATATATATATATATATAGATGTACTAAACTTTGACACAGATAACGTTTTTGAGGATACCATACAGATTAGTTAGAGCATGTTAACCCATCACTATGATTTTATCTGTGCTTCAGCTTTAATTCTATATCATACATTTTACTTTTCAAACCCCACATTTATCTTCTTATCGATTTTTTTTTTCTTCAACAGTGATCAGCACACTGGTTTCAGCTTCGGACCGAACCTGAGCCGAACCTCCTCCGATTTAGGTTTGGGAGTCGTCTCTCTCCCAACAAGGCTGCACGAGCTGCCGTGAGCTTTTCCTTTCGCCTCTCGCGCCCTCGATCCCTGCGCGTGAGCTGCCGTTGCTGCTGCTAACAGGTGTTGGGTTACACTCACACATACACTTTATCCACGATGGTGAGAATCAGCGTCTTGAACGATGCGTTGAAGAACATGTTCAACGCGGAGAAGCGGGGGAAGCGTCAAGTGCTCATCCGCCCTTCCTCCAAGGTCGTCATCAAGTTTTTGTCCGTGATGCAGAAGCACGGTGTGTATTTGTAGTCCAACCTGTTCGCGTAGCTATGGATTTTATTGAATCTTCGGATGTTTGTATTCTCAATGCAACGATCGTGAGGAATTACGAATTTGTTGATTTAGGGTTAGGGTTTCTTTGGTATTTTTCTTGCTAGTGCCACGAGCCTGTGATCATACGTTTTTTTTTTTGTTTTTTGTTTTTTTTTTGTTTTTTTTTTTTTTTTTTTTTTGTTCCTTACGACTTTGATCTGTGTTGTTGGAAATGTAATCGAATCCAGCGTTGCCTGTACTGGAGCTCCCTTCTACGTGATAGGGTTCGCATGGACTGTTTCGTGGCTTTGATTTTTCAACCTCTTTGTATTAGTTGTGGACGATGTTTTTGTCTTCCCCTTATGGAATTTGGTTATCCTGTTAGCGTGCTTTACAACGCTGAAGAAATCTCTCTGACTAATTAGTGTTCTCCTGTCTTTTTAGGATACATTGGAGAATTTGAGCTGGTAGATGACCACCGAGCTGGAAAGATCGTAGTGGAGCTTAATGGCAGGTTGAACAAGTGCGGTGTCATCAGTCCCCGTTACAACGTGGGAGTTGGTGAGCTTGAAGCTTGGACTGCTCGGCTCCTACCTTCTCGCCAGGTTTGTGGTTTCTCGATGTTTTCGCACTCTGGCCTTGCATTCAGGGTTACCACGGCTTAGGATGAAATTTTGTTTCTAGAAGTAGAAACATATCAGGATGAGGAATGTTCCTCGGAATATCTTATGCGGGCCTTTTGCATTGTTGCATGTCTTTTTTCTACGTGTTCTTACTGACTTCTAGGCTGAAAAATCGTCCTCTATTTTTTATTTTTTTCTTCTACATGCGATATAGCTTGTATTAAGCAGAGGAATACGATGGCGTTGATTGTTACAATGTGTAAATTTTACGTTGAGTTTCTCTACTCTTCCGCATCGCTTTCAAAATATAGCTTCTATTTCAAGAAAATAAACCCGTAAGCCGTATCGACTTGTTGTTTTGGTTTTGTGGTGCAGTTTGGTTACATTGTGATGACAACGTCAGCTGGCATTATGGATCACGATGAGGCCAGGCGAAAGAACGTAGGAGGCAAGGTCCTTGGCTTCTTTTACTGAGAGTGTTCAGGGTTAGATATCTGAACTTATTCAAGCCCGCATTCTTGCGTTGAGGGCTCTGGGTTCTGGGATCGACCTAAGCGCTAGGGTAGGTGTGGAGCAGGAGTCTGAGCAAAGCCGTTCCTCAAATTGTGATTTTCCTGCAATTTTCGGGAAAAGAATTCTTCGAAGTACCCTGCACTTATATCTATCAATCCAATTCTCGTGCAGCACTCTTTGTAATACTGTTGTTTATTTCTCACTAAATTTCTACCGTCACAATTTTGGTGGGAGTGGTTTTTATATAATTTGTTGAAATGCATCAGATTTCATGTAAATGGCAAAGAGATTTCATTTCTTAGCACTCATAATTACTATAAACTTGTAATAAATTAATTTAAGCTTGTATCTATCTTAAAATAGATACTTGTTCTAGAAATAAATAAATCAAATACCATATATATATATATGTAGGGAAATTAGATAATTGTTTTTAAAATATAGATGTACTGTTTGATACCAGAATTGGTTTAGTTTTTTGCTAAAACTCCAACAATTTTGAAGGTTGCAATTATATTTGTACCTTAGAATGACTGATTATTTTGGTTGTCCTATAGCATATTTATATTGGACAATGATAAAGCAACCCAAATTTTTACTAAAGCGACCCACTCTATCTTAACTATCATTGCACTCTTGCTATTCTCAACCATTATTAAGGACAAGGGCAGGAGACTAGGAACGTGAAGAACAGGGACAACCATTAGAAACAAGGATGGGGTTGAAAGGGTACAATGATGGTTTAAACATGTGGATTGATTTAGTAAAAATTTGAGTTGCTTTATCATTTCCCTACATATATATATATATATATATATGATATTTGATTTTTTTATTTTAGAAAAATATTTTTAAAAAATAGAAAGATCTTACTTTAGATTTACAAATTTAATTCTTAAATTCAATATTTTGTTTAAATTAAAAACTATACAATTATAATATTTTAAATTATTATTAAGGTTATTAGAAAACTATACTTGTGACAATGCAATTTGATTTTGATAATATTGATATTTATTAGATTTTAAATGCACAGCATTTTTGGTTTTATTAAAATTATTATTTATATTATTATTATTAAAAAAAATCATCCAAAACTATCTTTACCATTTAGAAATCACAATTGATTTTTTTTGCTAGTAAGACTAAACAATATACATAATAAACCATGACAAAAGCTCAAGTAAAGGCAATCACATTTTTTAAGGCCTTATCACCTAATAATGAGCTATAAAAAAAATAATACAAGTTTTTATCAATGCAAACTAATTTATAAGTGATATTTGCATAACAACCATATCAAGTACATAAATCAACTATCTTTTTAGATTTTTGGACAAAAATTTACAAATCACAATATGCAAGAAAGCAAAGTGATAACAATGCAATATGTTGGACTACATTCATTTTCTTAAAGAAATAATATAAAATCATAGTTACTAATTTAACAAGATAGTACCTACAATCATATGATTAATTCATCTATTATCATTTTGTTTAATAAGCACCTTTTCTAATGCTACAAAAATAACTACAAATGCAACAAAATATTAACAAATAATCCTAAATGTTATTGGATTATCATACACAATCATTGTTACATCTTTTGTAATAAGTATTTAACCATGGCATAGCTTGGTTAATAGCAAATTCTTATCATTATATGTTTCTTTGACCTAATCTTATATGATTTTCTAAATATGTCTAATTTCATATCACAAATTTGCAAAAGATTTAAATTTGTAAAATCATAATTTTAATAAACAAAATTTTACCTTTAAAGTGAATATTATTGTGCTAGTCTACACCATCCAAAATTTCTCTTACCACTATCAAATGTAAACTTAAAACAAATTAAAAACTTATTTATAAAATATTTAAATAAACATATTTGTGTAGATAAATAAGTAAGTGAATTTTATCAATTATCATTTATCTTTAAATTACCTAAATTATTTTATCAATAAAATTAACTTTTAATATTATTAAATATACATAAATACACAGTTATTATATATGATTATATATATATATATAAAGAACCATCAAAACTAGGAGGATTTTGAAATAGACCTAGAGGTTTCAGTTCTTTAGTGAAAAAACAAAGAATTCAGAGATGATGTGCACACATTCAGAATTATGAATCCTGCACACATCGACCTGACTAGGCTGGTTTTCGTAGGACCCAATTGTTGAGCCCTCTTGACCCAACCACAGCCACTAAACTTTGACAGATCTGCTGCAAGTTTTCACATGTTAAACATTGAAGCTATCGCACAAGCCTGGAGTTCAGATCGAAACACACACACAGAGAAACATATCTATATATATATATATATATATATCAATCAGAGTCTGAGCGGAGGTGAAGAGGTTGTAGTGGTAGCATGGAACCATGGATTGTAAATATGGAGCACAAGGAATAATAAGGGACCCAGATTGAGTCTGCAACGTCGATGAAGCAGAGTAGTAACTAACGACTGTGGAACCGAGAAACCAAGCAACCACTAAGAAATTGGCTCGATATTGCTCAGGGTTCGTTCCCGATGTCGTTGTTGTTGCTGCAGATGGGGCGTTGGGGGGCGGGGGGATTCCGGGACCATGTCGACGCAGCTCCCAACGCATCTCGCAATTCGATGGAAGACGCGGCTGGTCGTGGAAAACTTCACGCGTGGGTTTCTCCGCCCTGTCGACTTGGATTTGAATCCCCTCATTTTACTGTTGCTACCACTGGACCTTAGACTGCTGAAGCAGTTAGTTGCCCACTATTCAACATGTTTCTTTGATCATTGTTTTGTCCGTCTATATACATACATACTAATGGAAACGTATGCAGTTGGCCACAAAAAAACATTGTAAATTAAGTGTTGTAAATTAGTCTTTTGTTTGAAGCTTAACATGAGGTGAAATTCCATGTTGCATGTTGTGGTGCTTCTGAGCTCCATGCCTAGTGATTTTGTAGCGCTACTCTCGGCAATTTGTAGCAACACCATGTAGATTTTGACCTTTTGCTCTCACTTTTGATGAAAACAATGAAAGATGCAGCCAATTAGAAATGATTTGTCTCCTTTGGTTTATCCCTTGATGTGCTTTATATAAGAATTAATTGAATTCTTTTGTGTTATAATGCAAACTACAAAAATAAAAAGTAATAGAACATCAAGGTGTGCCAATATTGATATTATGACATATGAGAGGTTCAATTTTTTTTTCTCTTTTGAATATAAATAAGGACAATGAGTTTTATATTATAAATTTTGTTATGTTCAATTTAAAATAGGTAAAAATTAAATATATTTCCATGAATGTGATTTGATTTTTTTTAAAAATAAGATTAATAGTTCAAAAATATAGGCAAGTTATTCTATCATCTACAAAGTTGAATTTCTAGTAGTGTGTGATTATTGGTGAACCATTAGCATTTCATTTTCTATATAGAATATGAATATTTTAAGATAGAAAGCAAATCAAATGATTTACTAAGTTTCATATGAAAATTAAAATTTAGTCATAAAAAATTGCTATTAATATAATATTTAAAAAAATAAAAGAAACTAAAACCATTACATAAGAATGTTTGATTGAAGATTTTATTGATTTAGCATCAAATGAAGATTATGAATTATAAAATTATTCTATTTATATTTATTCTATGTAAATAATATATGTATGTACATATATATTCTTTTTAAATTTTTTAAAAAAAATTTAAGAAATTAAAATATAAATAGACTTTATAAAAGGAATATAATTATTTATTTAATTAATTATTTATCAAATTAAAAATATAACAATGATACGTAAGATAAATTGTGGTAATTATAATTCTTATAATAAAAAATATATTTCATGAAATAGCCATAAATATGAATATATTAAAAAATAAATATAATATTATATATATATATATATATATATATATATATATATATATAATGTAGAATCTAAGCATTGAAATATCATACTATAGAACATTAATAGTTTCAATATCAAATTTTGTTTTATAAAAAAATCAATATCAATGTGGCACGGACATATTTATTCTAATAGTTATTTGAATGATATGAATAGGTAGAAGTAGATAGAAGTAGGTAAAAAAAAGAGATTAATTTAATAATATCTTATGAAAAAGCTTCTTAGAAGCTTCATAAATGTATTTTTACCTTTAAACATGTCTATAGATGATTAATAGGTTAGAAACTTAGTCAATAAGTTTGCCATGTGTCTCATAAGTTAGTAGCTTGTGAAACAAGCTAAGTATATGGCACACATATAAGAAACTTGTTTTATAAGTTAGATACATATCTTGCAAATTGGATAAGCATTGGAGGTCTTATAGAACATTCTCATATAGCTCTTAGATAGATAGTATATATAGAAGTAAGAGCGAAGCTTTCTTTATTCATATAAGTTCCTTTCTTGCTTTCAATTTAGTTTCAAGAGTCTTTAATATTCTAGTCTTTGGCAATAACCATTCCAATTTCTTATTAAATATATTTATTTTCTTTATTTTTATTTTATCATTTCTCTTTGATTCATTTTTCACTTATTTATATATCTTCTTTGAATTCTTCTCCTTGACAAATTGAAAAGAGTGCTAATTCATTTTTCATATCTTGTTTTTAGAAGTGAGTAGATTACCCTGCTTCTATTGTTGTATTTCAAAGACTTCAAACTATCTACCTTTGAACTAACAATATTTGTTTTTTAAATCATATATATATTTTTTTTCTTAAAGAAAGTAGATCATTCTTCTTTGTAGAAATTTTTATTTGATATTAAAAAATAAAAATTAACCTCCTTTATTTGATTTGTGGATTTATTAAGTTATTTGAAATAGAAGAAAAAATCATAGGTATTACACATAGTAGAAGTGAGAATAGATTTGTAACTATTGCAGATCTTAATAAGCTTGTTAATACTTTTAAGGTAGAAATTTCACATATTACTAATACCAACTATGGAAGCTTTATTTCTATATTTATAGAAAGTTCAAAGTCTATGCCAAAAAGTTGTACAATTGAGAGAAGCAAATAGATCAACCTCACAACTAAATTTATAAAATCTTTCTTTGACAAGCACAAGAGAGGCAAGGATTAATATGTCCAAGAAGTTTAATGGAACAAGATCAAAATTTTAAGGATTTTTGTAATAAGTCAAGTTCTATCTAAAGTTGCATTCCTTCTAATATCATAATGGATTTATTTAAGTTGAGTTCATAAGTGCACTTCTATCTAGAAATG